TGAGAGCGAGAGAAAGAGAGAGAGAGAGAGAAAGAGAGAATAAAGAGAGTAAAAAGCGCGGTTGTAATTATTTCTTTTTCTGATCAATGGGGCATGGGGAGGGGCAACGTACCCGGTCGTGCTGCAAGCGCGCTGTGGGCGTCTCTTGTAAAACTCCACTTCGTCCACCGTCCATACGGCCCCTTTCACGTTTTCGACTCGCATGAAACATTTGTGGAGAGACAGGTTGTGTCGCACTGCGTTCTATACAAAATAATACACAGACTAAATAAGCAACGCAAAAAACGAACGAAGCCAACTCAATCACGGTCCCGGTAGTCGGCGAAGGGGGAAAGGATCACGGTCGTTCGTGGCGCGTGTGTGTACGTGTACGTGCGGCTGTATGGTTACGCAGGCGGTAGAGAGTCCTCGACATCGGGTGATGATGACCGATCACGCTGATGAGGCAAGAATGGATGATGATCGTGAGACCGAGGCGCGAGGTTGCTAAGTGAGACGTGCGATATTGTGCGTGTGCCGTATGATTTGTCGAGGTGCCAAGGTGCCAACGAGCAGCGTTGCGAACGATCTCGTCGAGTGTTACAACGTAGACACTTTGTGCAGAACTTTGATTAAATATATCTCCTGATACATGTTGTCACTGCAATGACGTATCAATATCTCGAGTTAATATTATGCGAATTTATGTTGCGTTATATGTTTCAAGTTTTCTTAGAGCTCTTTCAAATGAAGTATTTATAACGAAGTTCTCAATATATTTTTAACTACTGGCTCTGATAGGATTATAATTTGTCGCGGTGATAGTAGAGAGGTATATGAATAGAATGAAACAAAATTTATCTGCCGCTAAATACTGAAATAACGTATTTATCATGTTTTTACCGAGATACTCAAATTCATTTATTCATTTGTATTGCCAAAAATACAACGAGCAATAATAATTAAAGAGCTGTAATATAACTTCAATAAAAGTTATTAATTCCACAATGCATGTTTGCTCATTCACTTTATGAATATACTTGAACATTATAGAGAAGGTACACACAATCGAGCGCTCCCGAATATTTTATGACTTGACGTACTTTTGCACAAAATGACAGTTTCAGTCTTATAGTTATGACCTCGATCCATAACCTAGATCTTGTATTTCCTCGTTTTATTGCGATTCAAGTCTTTATAGATAATAATTTTGACCTAGATAAATTTTAGGATGACCTGTTCGGCAACGCTGCTCTTGCGAGCTATGGCAGCCATCTTTGAAGACACGCGAGATGTACACATTTTTATGATATATTTAAAATCAAATATGCCGTATAAATAAATTACGAAAATATTTTCTATCATATATTTATGAAATCTAACATATTAGACGAACAAAAATATTTTCCAAAAAATATATAATACCCGTAGCTTCTATTTTACATTTAAGAAAAATTTTTTCACTAACGTTATATGATGTACAGATTGTATGATGTACAGATTGAGGATATTTCATTTATGCTAGAAAAATTAATTTGATAATTGTTTTATTGTTTTCATTTAAAGATGGCTGCAACAGCTAGCATTCTTGAAGAATACAAGCAAAGCTGCCACCTTAAACTTAAATTTGCACCGTAAATTTAAATATTGCTGTATCGTTTCTATCTTTTTTTGATTTGGGACAGCACATTTCTCAACGACTTAAATTACGCAAATTATGCAGATTAATAAATATTTTTTATGGCGTTCTTAAAAAAGTTGCTTTTACGAACATACGTAAAATAGAGTTTCAAAAATGCTAAGCAAACAAATAAAATAATACAAACTGATATAAGTATAATAAATATCAAGTAAAAGCAGCGCAAATTACTACGCAAGTGCAATAGTATACTGAATTTTAAAAGATATTTATATAAATGCAATTACTCAGTCACAACTGAATTTATTATTTAAAAAAAGAGCCGGGCAAGTCTTCGAGGTGGCAGCCAACAAAGAAAAACAGAAATCGGCATCGCGTTGTGACAAATACAAAACAAAAAATAATATAAAGTCTAGCCAACCGATAATCAGCGATAATTAAATGCGATATCCACCAATAATAATGACGGTGGCGACGATGATCGATGACGATGAGGTCGGTGATGATGATCGCTGTTAGCACAGAAGGAAATCGACAATGAAATCGCGACGTCGAAGGCCGCATGAGGAGGTAACGAACCAAAATATGATTAATCGAAAGAGACACGGTTTGTGGCATTCCTTTATCGTTAATGCACAGCTAGTCATCTAAATCTAGGGGCAACGACAACAATTATTCATGCCGCAGGGCCGAATATAAAATTCGACGAGGCCGCGCGACGCGGCCGTACGATGACGTGTTTGTCGCCATCCGCTATCATCGGCGTGTTGGTTCCTTGGCTCTGCTCCGCTCACGCCTTCTCACTCCTTCCGTTCTCTGCTGCAAACCTGTTTGCGTTTTTTTTTTATGTTTTCATATACACATAACCATGCGAGGCAAAGCGTCATGGCAAACGTCAATTACTTCCACGCACACTCGCACACACGCAAAAACGCACGCGCGCAAACACTCTTGCCAACAAGCGGTTTGTCACGTCGGCTTACAAATCGATCATGAACCATCAGCATGTTATATTCGTTGCCTTCGGATACCTGAGTAGAGAGACGCGAAATATATTAATTTATATTACTGCTCCGCGTTTAATTTTATTCGGTCGATTCATTCCAGATTAAGTAAATAATGATAATCATTCACAAATAATCATTCGAACCGTCATAATTATTTAGAATAAAGTTTATTATAAGTCAGAATAAAGCGATTCATGAGATCTCTACGAAATACCTATATATCTCTACTATTATTTAATATAATACGTTTTCGCAGGTAATACACGATTTCTCATTCAGATACATTGGCAAACGATCATTTTAAACGATAAAATAATTGACGTATGTAATATGTTTATAGGAATGTATAATGCAATAATCGTCTGTAAAGACATTCCAATTCTATTTACTATTGGTTCAGTTATTGGACTATTAGTTTACTATTAATTTAAGAGAATTGCTGTTATTCTGACACGCGATGCTATTGAGTGGTCTGCAAACGAGGGGAAACAAGGAAGAATATAATGACAGATGGCTCATAAATGACTCGTAATATGTCGTATTTCACATGTTACCAGTTTTTCCCCCTTATTCGAGAAAGCAATACAACTATCATTACCAGCTGCTCTGCCCGGCACGTCACTTAGCCTGTTAATCCAAATCAATACATATAATTATCCGAAATTCTCAATAAGCTGTCATCTTTTCTTGTTAAGCGCATTCAGCTTAATACGCTCGTATAAATACAAATTGCGTGATTGTTTTATCCTTGTTTTATCCTTGACTCCCGTTGCACAAACAGATTCGTGCTAACTTCATCCAGTTACAAGAGAGTCACTTCCCCACTTTACTCGTAACTCTCTCGCTATTTAAAGATTACATTTGGAATATACTTCTTCCGGTTTTCTTATGGAGAAATAAAATTGCTATAAAAAGCTTAGAATATTTTATGCCTTGTAAAAATTACTAGCTGCAAGCATGAAAAATTAGAAAAAAGTTCTGATAAGAAAGCTACATTTTGGATATTTCGAATCTCGAAGTCATAAGCTTTTATCTGCTTTTGTTTTTAAATTTCTGTTATCTGTTATTTAATTTTCTCGTTTCGAAACAATTGGATAATTATACTACTAGAATTATAAAATATACCTTCCACGTTGCTGCGTTGCGCCGGAAGTAGCAGAATGTGTTTTGGAACCAGTTGTAAATTTCGTTGAGTGTCAGCTGCTTCTCGGGAGATTCGATGATAGACTATGAAAAGAGCAATATTATAATTATATTAACTTGTTCTATTCTAAGAGGAAAAACATCATGGCTAAGGTACTTAAATGTCCACAAACGAAGAGACTTACGTGTAATATCAGTTCGTATATCGTGCAAAATTTGTACTTTTAGATTATAATATTAAATAATGATTTGAAAATGTTAAAATTCTTTAATAAAATATAATATATAAAATTAATAAGTAAAATAAATTTTATTACACCTAAATAATTATTAAGATATAATGAACTTCAATATAAATATTATTAAATCCGAATAATATTTAACATATTAATTTTAATAAAAAAAGTAAAAATTATTTTTCAGTATATTCTCAAAATTATTAAAATAATCACGATAATGAGTATGTAAGCATTCAAATTGTTTTATGTTGTTAAAGAAAATCCCCACAATGATTTGTTAGAATAATGCGACGCGATGGGAAAATTAATGCAATATCCGGAGAATCTTTCGCCAATTATATTATCTACTCACCTGCCGAATTAAGGATGCATACGTGAACGGTGGTCTGACGTCTGCATTCTTGTAGAATTCCCTATTTCGCTGAATTTCTGAAACCGGACGCAACAAATTTCATTTACCCTATATGTTATTAAAAGTAATAGCAGGTCGAAAGCTAATATTTTTATTACTGATAACAAGTAACTATACTTGTTTAATTATTTTTTTACACAATAAGATCTGAACACAGGGATCACACAAACAAGCAAACATTGTGCTGGTCACGTAAAATTACGATAAAATTTTAAATGACAAAGAGTAAATTAAGCTATGCGTATTTTTACGGTATTTTCGAAAAAACTTAATCGATTTAAATATCTATATTAAATATTAAATAAGCTTTTTATTTAAATATTTGGATTAAATATTAAATAAGTTTGAAAAGTTATAAATATACATTTTGAATTGCATAATAAGAGATATATATCAATTTTATATTTCACATTTTTTATTAAATTATGTTTTTCTAAATTTTCTTTTTTGCTTTTAAATAAATTTCTAAATTTGAAAGTAGCAATTGGTGATAAACTAAATTAAAAACTATATGCAAAATATATATCTAATAATAAGACTTCATAGAAAGAAATCCATAAACCATATGCAAAATATCAATATTTAATTAAAAAACGGATATTCTTCTAAAATAACGATAATTTTTATATCTGCAGAAATATGTGCAGACGCATGCTTTTATAAAAAAAAAATTTCATAAAAATCGGAAGAAGGTAATACAAACATCGAAATTTTTCTTCACATTTAATTTTTTCGGAACTACTCTTTTTAGAGGTGATTGTTTACATTACATTTATTTGCAACATTAAAACTGAAGTTTACGTATTTGTTTGCCAAAAATAAAAGTAGTTCAAACCAAATACATGGATCACCTCTTTCGCGCTTAAAAGAAAAGCAATAAAAAAATTAATTACGGCCAATCAATTTATCCAATCTCAAGTGTTTGCATGGAGTTTTGGAATACTCGCAATTTTAATTATTTTAAGAATTATATTAAAATTAGAAAAATTATTGCTACATAAAAAGAATAATTTTGCTAAAATATTAAAAAATTTAAGTAAATACAGATCTGAAAATAATTTTTTTACTATCAAAATAATTACATAGGAAACTCAAACATGGTGAGCAATGTTGCAAGAAAATTTTTGACATTCTAGCTTGAGTGTCTTACGTAATTATTTTGATAGTCCAACGAAACTATTTTCAGATCTGTATCTAGCTAAATTTTGTTAGATACTTTAGCAAAGTCATTGTTCTGTGAACGTGGAGAGGCAGAGATGAAGACGAAGAAAGGAAGTCAGTGTTCATGCAAGGTGCATCTTTCCGCAAGAAAATTTGTAAGCCACAAAAGGGAATGTGTGGAAAATAGGTTGACAGTACCTTGTTGGACGTCAAGGCCAGCACGCTCCAGCATGTAGGGCAGCCCTACACGGTGGGGAGGGCAGGCAGCACAAGAAATAAGGAAACAATAAAAGCATCGATAAGAAAGAGGTTCGAGCTGGCGGATGAAAGTTTTTTTTTTCATCTCATATAATTTCTTTTCTCATCGCATAAATTTCCTTGCATCCCCTCTCTACACACCTATGCTCGTTTTACGCCGCCAACAAGGTGTTGAACACTGTCGCTTCACGTGACATAGTCGCTACCATAAGTAATCTGTGCGTGTGGTACAATTTACGACAGGAAAAGGCACGAGACCAAGAGAGGACCGTAAAGAGCACTTGCTACAGGATCGGTATTTTTTTTTTTATTTCGTCGGAGTGAATATATTTTTGTGACGAACCTCGAAATGCCAAAAATAATTTCAAAAATATAAATATATAATTATCTTATTACGCAGGATTAAAATGATAAATATGATCTCATAGAACTATACTATTTACAAAGAAAATTAAGAAATATTATTGACATCGTACAATTTTCATTTATCATATTTCTCTCAAATTAATAATGTTTTATAACTTTCATTATAATATCACAGCTATAATATCGTTATTTATTTTCTAGACACACGTCTGTACAATGTATAATTTGAGAAAGATAACTTCTCTTATTAATACTTTAATAAGAGTTGCAGTGCAGAAATTTTTCATAATGGCATTTCGAAGCTCGCGCATCACTCCGAATATGATTTTGTGTTATCGTTACCTTCGTTAATATCTATTCCAGATCTATCGACGGCTACTCTGCGCCTTACAGTGCCCTCGTCATACAGTCCTACGAATAGTATTTAATTTCTGAATTTTCATTTCTTTTGTTTCACCTTTCTTTGAGACGATATTAATCCAGTTCCAAGCTCTCGTATGCATTTCAAGCATAAAAGCTATACGTTCGGAAAATGATTACATCGAAAATATTTTAATTAAAAACATTAAATTTACAAGTTAATAATACGTTCCTATATGTATATATAAATAAAATAAGGTATGAAAATTATACAATAGGAATTAAATTTAAAAAGGGATATATTCAATTAGGAATGAATTAATATCACTAAATTCGATAAATAAATAATATATAGATATATAGTGTATGTATATTTCGCAAATCGCAGTTAATAATATCATTTGGCAAGAAAATTTTAATATACCTATATATTTGTCTCTTTTATTTCTCTTTGCATATGTATATTATATATACATAATTGAATATATATGTATATAACTGAAATTATGTTTTATTAAAATGAATGGTTAATAATTCAATATCCTTTAATGTGTTTTTAATTTCAATTTTTATTATTAATATAAGCGACTAACGAACTATACTATACATTATGCATTGATATTTCGACGTATCAACAATCAATTAACACAGAATCAACCATTTTCCTTGAAACAGATAAAACGGAAGAGCTGTTGCAAAATTGATTTCAAAACAAAATTGACCTTGGTAACGCAAAATGATTCTGGCCCTCATTAGTTCTCGAAGACGCTATCTCAAATCTCACCTGTCAGGCAAGATAATTAGAGATTATGAAATAAAGAGATGACCTTACCTCCTGCCAAAGAAAGCGCTGACTTGTCGCTGATGCGCCGTCTGATTGGACCAGCCATACTCGGCATGCTGCCAGGCATGTTAGGCATGGGAGGTAAACTGGACATATTGGGTATGGTCGGAAGTGGCGGCATCGGGGCACTGCCAACCGACGGAGGCAGCTGAGCACTCGCGGGCGACCTCACGGCAGATACCAGCGCGGACATGGATACTGGTGACACCTGAGAGACTCCAAAGTTAGGTGGCGGTTGACTCATTAGCGCAGTGGAAAAATTTAGCTTTGGTAAATTCGAGCCCGTCTGAAAAAGAGAGTTCCCAAAATTCAAAATGGCAGAAGAGACAAAAGACAGTGATGATACAAGATATAAACAAATCGAATATAAACTGTTGAACTGAGAGATCATTTTAGAACTATAAGTGCAATGAAAGCATTGTAGAGTTAAAAAGATGTTTTTATGTAATTTATGCAGAGCAATTTCCAAAGTTTGATTAACTAATTTTTCATAAACTCAGAAAAATTTAAAACTCTACGGTTGTAACTTTTGAAATCATTGTACGCAAGATTTGTCTTCTGATAACAAAGAAATATCTCATTACTTTTGCTCCATAAATTTCATGATAAATGTAATGTACATATTAAAGCACTTGATGCAATATAAATATGAATATCAATAAATGCAGTTGCCATATGGATATCTTATTACATATCATAGTGGCGTATGCGAGCAATCTGATCTTCGTAGCGGAATTACTCACACAGCCGCGTTAAAATAATTAAGCCGTCGACCGTCGAGCGTTGTCGCCGGCGGAGGGCTAATGCGATATTGGTATTCTCTGACTGCCCAACTTGTTAGGGGTTTTAATTAAGGCGATATAAAATTACCGCAGCTCCGATGAATTATTAATGCAAACTTTATGTATAAATTAGCACTCGACTCGGCGGCGCGTTAAAACTGAAACTCGCGTTGTTGTTAGCGAGCCACGAGAAGCTCGTAAAATCTTCCAACGAGCTGGTCTGTCGTGAAAATCCGGCTTTACGATCTCATAGCAATACCACAGCGAAGAAAGTTTACGCATCACAGTTGAACCGTTTTTCTAGATTTAGCTTTCAATATTCCTTCTATAGCGGATCTTTAAGCGTATTATAATCGCGATTTATGATAAAGATTTTCTTTTGTTTCGTGATGTAACAATTAATAATTTTAATTTGTAGCATATTTATGTATAAAATTACTCTCATAATTCTCAACAATAATTAATTTTTTTTATAAAGCTATAAGAAAAGATGACAGTAGTATGCATAAATTGTTTTTGTTAATATAAATTAATATATTTTCGTTAATACAATCGATTGATACAAAAAACTAATCTATTTTATGCTATAATAATGTCGAAAAAATTAAATATCTATTAGGTTGAATCGTAAATAATTTCCGCTTCGGAGAATAAATTGTAATGATACATTTATGCCAATCATCACGTTAATAACTCATTATACTTGACAGGTCAGATCATGTTTGAAGTAAATTTCGCAATCTCATAATAACAGTGATAACATCAGTGTACACATCAAAATAAAGTAATAAATTTCTTAATCCTGAATTGAAAGAAATAAAAATGCATATTCATCATATAATATTATAGGAGGAGAAAATGCGGAGGTAGCTAAAAAAAGTTTGCAGTGTTTATGGCATAACTGATAGGTAAGTACGAAATTGATTAATAAAATTTCATTCTGAAGATATGTACGTCGTTAAAAGATGAACCCAGACAAGGGCGCTCAATAGACTTCGATGCATGGTGCTTTAAAATCATTAGTGGAATACAATTAGTGGAATGGCAACAAATCATTGCAAATAATTGCAAACATATAATTGATTAATTTTTTGTTTTTTATTGAGAAATAAAATTCATACACTAAAACGGAAATTATTTATGACTCAGCTTAATATAATTTTAGCTTTAATACAATGTTTATATAAAGAAATTAAATTGTTACGAAAGAAATTATATTCATCATCGTATTGTTTTCATTATTTTTAATATGGATTAATAATAAATGAATGATTAAATAAAATAGTTCAATAAAATAAAAAAATCTAACCTAAAGAATAAAAATTATGAATATAATAAAGAGAATTTACCGATGACTCCGATGACTTTGGCGGTTCCGGGGAAGCCATTTGTTTTGCCATGTGCAAATGATGCATCATAGCGCCTAGTCGGTCTCGTTCTTTTTGCAACTGAATTTCTAACTGCGACACTACTTGCATCTGGACCCTGGCTTGCGCTGTCGATCGGTCATCCAATGTGTGCTCTGTATTTAAGTGTCTGCAATATTTCAGGATTAATTACGGTTTATTTTAATTCAACATGCTGTAGTTTCAACCCTCTCTCTCTCTCTCTCTCTCTCTCTCTCTCTCTTTCTCTCTCTCTCTCTCTCTCTCTCAATGCAAATATTACAATGTTAATATTAAGAAAATGATGGACAAGATTAAATTATTCATAATATTTTAACATAATAATCATTTATTGATCCTTTTGTTAAATTAAATTAAATAATAAAAAAGAATATAAGTAAAATTATATATAAAATTCAAATAAATTTTCAATTAAATTTATTATCGTTACGTTTATGTTTCATATACACAAAAATTTAATTTTAAATTATTTAATATTTTAGCATAATGTCGTAACGTCGTGGCAGATCTAATAAAGATTTATAACATTAATTTAAAAGCTCTGCAGTCTTTAACTTAATTTGATTTTAAAACCAATGATTAAAAATTAAATAATTTGCAGCCTATGTTTATCAATAAAAAACATGGAAAGGTGAGAAAGATTCGTCAGAATTATCTTGCAAGAGTAGCAAAAAAATCTGCGCGTCAGAAAGCCACGAAAAATCCCGAGCACGTAACGCTTCCATTCTCCGACTACAAGAGCTCAAACCCCCAGGAGACAACAGGACAGAAAATTAAGCTTCGCCGCGTCGTAGGTAGAGGATGGGGGTGCCAACAACGCCAACAAGATTCCGTATTTAAGAATTTCCGTAATCCTTCTTCGTCGACGGAACGGACGGCTGTATCGACGGGAGTGGAAAAGGGTGGCGAGAGGAGCGGATCGGTCGGTTGAAAGAACGAAGATGCGGGAAGGTCGAGGGAGTTTGAACGAACGAACTGGCGGGGGAAAGGGACAGAAAGGGATTAGACTGAGGGGCATAACGATGCGGTCGAATGTCGTGAATATTAATGAGACAAAGGTAATTAGCGTTTTTCTTTTTTTTTTAAGTAACGGCTTGTTTGAGGGGGAGTTTGCACTGAGACGAGCTACGTGATTACGAAGGATCTTTCGGATGGGATGGAGCTACGACGAGCTTGCGGTTGCGGCTCGAAGCCGATGAGCGAAAACGTCTGATGTCAATGAGATATGCTGACACGAGCGATTTTTCTATACTTTCTTTGCCTCATTCTCCCCAATTTAATTACCGACTTTCTTCTATTTCTTCAGTTTCCCGTACACAAGATATTCGCAGTTCCTTTTTTACGTTCACCTATCTGCTTGGAAATCGTTTGTCTCTCTAAAATATATCGCGTTTTTATTTCGATTCGTTATTAATCTGAATCTTTATATTATTAGTAAAAAGTACTAAATATTAAGAAATACTTGCACTCACAAAAATTTATTATTTGATAGCTGGAAGGGAATTTTACTGAATTTGCAATGGAAGTCGGATAACAGATGATCCTTAAATGTCGAAAATACAATTAAGAAAATATATTAAAAAAAATAAATAAATAAATCGAAAAACTTACTTAAGGAATGCTTGATAGTCTTCACAAATTACTTCACAGCCTGGCCACTTGCACACCCCATGGCCATAGAGGGGATGAACCTTGTCATTGCAGGAGGCATCCAGCGGCTTCTCGTCCATCGGTGTTGTACCATTCACCTCGGACCGTCGGCTCGAAGCTATCGAATTCAGAATGCCTGCGATAGTTCGGTAAACGAACGTCGCATTCGCAAAAAAATAAAACATAAGCATGGAGAAATTAGAATACAAAAACGAGCGAGCTTGAGATCAACGGAGAAGCGTGAAACTGTTGTTTTACCGTTCAATCCAGAATTCGATTTCGCCACGTTGGAATTCTGGTGGGATTCCGGTGTATCCGAGGGCTCTGACTTCCATGATGGTAGATTATCACCTGGTGGTAAACCTGCTTAATTTAAAAAAAAGCATCCATTTGAAAATTATTAAGCGAAGAAATAATAATCGCCATAAAAATATATTTCCATAAAAATATATTTATCGTTGAATTTTCGTAATTAAGATAGGAAATCAAAAGAAAATGTAATTGCTTAGAAACATATGTATATCGCATCACATGATCATATCACATGATCATATCAAAAATTTTAATTTAAAAAAAGCTCGTCATCATAAATATTTAAACAGGATAGCTCACCAAATAATCCGTCGTTATTAGTAATCATTTTAATGTTAAAATGACGATAAATAATGCCAGCTTGTTAACCGAGAGATAATAAACAATATTCGCAATAATATTCAGTGCAATCTTGATACAATCACACGTGAAACAAACATGCATGTGAATGAAAGACGAAGCAACGCGTCGACAAGGAGGTAGAATTGAGAATGCTAAGAACAATAAAATTAAAAGCTAAGATAGTTAAATTTTTGAGAAATGAAGAAAATAGAGAGGACATAGTAAGCAGTGGAAATAGGGCCAGTTGCATAGTCGAGAATAATGACTAGATTCATTAGAACTCAATTAGAGAGTTCATGTATGAACTCTCGAATTTGAAGGATCTAACAATGAATCACGGTTGCTATTTCGAATGATCCTTTCGAACATATGTATCATGTACCTATACGTACAAGTATCAGAAAAGGGAACATCGTTGGAGTGAGCACCGGTTTGTAATCGAAACGCTTTTGTGTAAAAGTTTTGTTCAGGATAAAAAACAAGAAAGGGAGACGCAAAGGAGAATGGAAGAAGAGAAGAAGTAAATGAAATTAAAGTAAAGAAAAAAATAAAGAAATAAAGAGACGTAGCGCACAGAGGTTCGAAAGGATTATGCAGGAGATACTGAATCGTTTTAGTTTAAAACTAAAGGGATGCCTCCAGTATCAAAGCTTATCTTTGTCTTTGCATACGTGCTACTGATGACATGTGATTCCTATGACACGAATATGTCACGCGTCGCAGCAAATACACTCATGTGTTCGGTTGCGGCATGTGATTGTCTTGATAACGGATTCCTATGTTTATGCAATGTAACCGTGTTAGAATATGACAATAATACGCGAATTAAAAATATACGTTTACTTAATCCTTTTATCACGAACGTGAACATGCGTTGATAAAAACGTCAATTTCTTGATGATAGAGATATGTACTGATGCAGAACACGTGCAAGATATTAAAACAACAATCTTTACTAACTAACAATAATCTTTGAAAAAGCTGTTCGCACATTCGTAAGATACAAATATCATTTTTTAAGAATTAAAAAAAGTCTTGATCATCTTTTTGAATAATTCTTCGTTTTATATATAAAGAACAGACTTAATCCAATCTAAGATTCTATCTAGATAAGATTTCGTATTTAAAATGTAGCTTAATTATAGACCTGACCTGTTCTAAGTCTAAACGCTTCAAATCTCTCTCTTTTTTCACTGAAGTAATATATTTAATATATAACTATTGATTAAAATGTAAAAGATTAATAATCACTATTATAAAACTTATAGTTTATTTTAATTTCGTTGAATTTCGTATTATATTTCGTTGGGAATATATTTTTAATACACTCTGGATCATTGGAATCACAAATATATCTTATATTCGCACTTTATTAACATCTAACCGTATTTAAAAATTATTTGACTATTAAAGCATACCAAAATATCTTTAATCAAGCACATTAATTTTATTTAAATAAATACCTGAAGAAGGATTATGGCCTTGAAGACTCAATCCTTGCTGCAACAGATACTGCCTTTGTGTAATCTGTAGTTGCTGTATCAGTTGCTGTTGTTGAATCGCTAATTGCTGAAGAGGCGCCGATGCTTTCTTTTTGTCCGCCGTTTGCAATAAATGTGTCTGTTGAAATAAGTTCAGCTGCAATTGTTCCTGTAGTTGTTGCATTGCCTGTTCTAATTGTTTCTTGTTGAGTTCCGCGAGTTGATGCTGATGCTAAAACAAATCAGAAGCCGATATGCAAATGTATAAACTATTTTACATCACTTTACTAGTTCAATGTTGTATATTGACAATTATATTGTATTACATAATCGATGTTACATTAAGCAAATAATTTGATATACATAAATGAACAATGCGATCCTCGACGTGATTATACTGGGAGATCGCGAAGTTAAAGATTCGTTAAAGTAAGGCATTAGATTTATATATACCTATATATATAAAATTTATATATGATCGCTAATGATGGCTCAAAAGTGAGCCGAAACGTTTGAAGCTTTGCAATTGAGTACAATTGATAATAGATTTAAATTGCGTTCTACTAACCGCGCTTAACTCTTATTTGTCCGATATATCCCTTTATTTAATTTTTGATATGTATTTACGAAAAAAAAAGAAAGGGGAAAAAGGAGAAAGAGAACTCCATTATATTTTCATTTTATAAACATTATATTAATTATAGCCTTTCTGCAGAGAGCGTCTCTAATTAAAAAAAAAAGATATAGGTATAATTAATTACAAATCAAATGATATCGTCGACAGTTTATTATTAAACGTCAGGCACAAAAGTGAACATTTCGCTCTCTTGCCAAATTAGTTGGCCGGAATAAAAAGGAGAGGAAAAAAGGGCGGCACTTACGTCTTGGAATGATGAATAAATCACGGGCGCAGATAATTCGCGGCACCAAGGGGGCAAGAAGATAGAGGGCAGTTGATGGGTAGCTCGAAGACAAACAACGAGACACAACGGCTGATGGCGATGCTTAATTGCTTACCTCACCCTCCAGACTAACTCCCTCCGCCTATTTCATTTCTCGGTCTCTCTCGTGCGCCTCGAGGATATTTTAAAACAAACTTCGAGGTACGCACCCTTTATCATATTACTATAAACGAACACTCTGCACGATTAATGGGCGCAAACACGTTCTCGCTAATAAGCATTTTCCATGCTCATGTTAAGCATACGATTTCTTTATATTTTGTATTTACTGTATACTTTATACATTTTTCCCCGCAATAAATCTTGATAACGTTCAAGAAATTTTCTAGCAACGCATATTTATAACAGGACTGGCCTTTAATTTGACCTACAATTAAACTTCATTACACATGGAAAGAACGGTTTTGTGTATCTAAAAATTTAGCTAGATACAGATCTGAAAATAATTTTATCGGGTCTTCAGAATAATTATATAGAGCATTTAAAGGTTGATAATAATACTGCAAAAATTAAGTTAACATTCTAGTAACCAATTTAAGCGTCCTACATAATCATTTTGATGACCCAAAAATTATTTTGATGTCTGTATCTGAATTTTTAGATATTTCAGCAAAACCATTCTTTCCCTGTATCTAACATTTATTCCTCTTTACTAATCCAATTTTATGTGAGCATTAAAAGTTATCGTTACGTGACTTCTGAGAATGATTTCTGAGAGTGATTTCTGAGAAAATGATTGAACAAAAAGAAAATGTTCTCTAATTTGAAGTTCGGCGCATTTCTGTCTCTTCAAAGAATAGTTTCTGCTACAATAAATGACATGGTGCCATGAAAAATATTTGTTGTCGCTTACATTGGTATTTTTGAAAAGGAATATCAGAGTGCTTATTGGATCGTAGGCGCCAGGATAACACTGTGGCTGGATAGCAAAAGTGGTTCGCGCGACGTGTATTGTTATCGTAACGATATAGAAGGGACTACCTGTTTACACAGACCGAGTATCAACCCTCTCGCTATAGCATCGAACTTCCCGGCAGTCCCGTCCGCCGCGAATTGCGCGTATACCGAAATTCAAAACCTCTTTTAAGATTAGCTTCCTCACGAAAGTGTCTTACGTTTCCGTTTCGTTTGTTCAATTAAGAGTTAAATTTAAGATACTATGTCATTAAATTACGATGTTATATTTGCATCACAGAGCGTATTTTGATTGAGTTTTACACGAAATGAAAATATATTATTCGTATAAAAGTTGAGCGTATGAAAGATTTCAGCCGATAACAATTTATCCATCAAGTAAATAACTGTAAAATAGTTATTTTCGTTGAAAGTAGAATAACTTTTTTGTACAAGAGACTTTAATTCGATGACTACTACAATTTCTTAATTGATTAACGTTGTTATTAGACGTTATTAGTGAAATTGTACATTAGTGACACCATACATAATGAATAAATCGATGAAAAGGGTAAAATTGGAAAAACGTTTTAGCTATACCTAATTTATATCGCTATTACTGATTGCTTTGGCGACTAAATTGTTTCTCTTAATGCAATATGAAACCCTTTTTCCTTTTTACCCAATATTTTTATATAACGTAAAAATAAAACAATAAGGAATATCTCAGGAATATTTGTCGCAATAAGTTAAGGTATTAAGTTGCTATTAAAATTATGATAAAAACTGATTAATTTAATTTGAAACTATCAATTTAATTATTATTTCAATGTGATTGCGTTGTAAATTCGACAGTTGGGCGCGCAATTTAAAGAACTAAAAAGATAAGATGTGCATAGAAATGTTATTAAAGAGACTGAGATCTAGTCGCGATCGCTTATGGGTTTCTTTCTTAATTATTTAAATTTCGTATAATAATCTAGATGAACGTATTATTGTTAAAGAATATTTCACTTACGTTCTTTAAAGAAGAGAAGTAACCAAACCGCTCCTGATTAGATGCATGATCGGAAGATGAATCCTGCAATTTAATGTTGTGACTGAAGCAATTGAAAAAATAAAAAACGCGAAAGATGAAAAAATCAAGGTAAAAATTTTATATTGTAAAATAATACACATAAAAACAAAAATGTATATAATGTTAAAACTTGATTGAAAATTAATTAATCATCGATTGATTAATCATGTCTCAAAATTTGAAATACATTGATTAAATATCTACATCGAAGAATGGAATTTACCTGATGGTGTTGCTGTTGCTGTTGCTGCATGTACAACGTGTGCTGCTGCATAAAGGATTGCAGTTGCGTGGGGCTGAGTATGTGTTGCTGCAGCAGTTGTTGCATCTGATGGAGGCCGCTCGCCGAGCTGAGCATCATCTGCGAGGGGGTCTGCGACGGCGGAGCCCCTGGCGGGCCACCGGGTGGCGGACCCTGGGAAGGATTCGGTGGTGAACCCCTCTGTGGGGCTTGCGGGCTTTGATGCGGGCTAGGTTGGGGCCCTGGTGCCCCTGAGCTGGGCTGTTGCGACTGCTGCGTGATGATTGGCTGCTTTTGCTGGGTCATGGGTGCTGGTGTCACTACGTGTCCGGCGGGACTGAGCTTCCCATTGCTTTGGTACTCGATAGTGAGATCCTGCTGCTGCTGTTGCTGCTGTTGATCAGCAACACCGCTGCCGCCGCCGGTCTCCGCTATATTGCTTCTGCCGGAGTCGCGATTGCGGACCGTAGGAAGGCGATCCCTGTCGCGGCACTCGCGGTCCCGCGACGAGAAGACGCTGTCGCGCGATTGCTGTTGCTGCTGCTTCAGGGCTGCAAACAGCGAAGTAGCCTGCAATATGAAAATGGAGATCGAGAGCTCGATCAAAGGCTGTTGCGAGCTGCCTTGTGGAGAAATCATAGTAACTCCGTGTCATGAAAAACCAAAAATCTTAACTACGTACTATGTATCATATAAATATTAAAATCAAAATCGGCCGGCATTTACACAGCGGCAAATTTTGAGATAAGAGACGAGAGTTAAATGAGAAAAGATAGCGCGAGAGACGCGGGAGACCATGAGGGAGCAAAAGAACAGCTCCGAGCGGAATATTCATGATATAAATGCCACGTAATGTACATGAGTTAAACTTCTACCGTATTTTGAACAATATTGATCTTATCTAATAGTATTCGAGCGCGCGGGCCAGCCTCGACTGCTCCGTCATCATTGGCTGGCTCGAAGGAAAACTCGCTGTTGTCTGAATGACGTCGGTTAGAGTCTCCTCGGCTGTTTACACAGCGGGATTTGTTTTATTAAGTTCCATCATCAAGCAGATTGTCGAGTGTAAAGGCGGAATCGAGCTTCTCTTCTGCTCGCTTCTCGCGAGGGTCGAAACTTTCGAGCGCGTCCCAGATGTCTCGATAAGTTCATTATTATTATTGTGTTATTGTATGATATAATGGGGCACTTTTAACGTTATCTGAGAAATGTATTACCCTTTATTACCATAAGATGTATTTCATCGTAGAAATAACTAGCCTTTGCGCTTCTAGAAGTTTAGCGGTAATAATCAATAAATTTTCTAATATAAAGATAACAGTTCTTAACGTCGTTTTTTAATTTAATATTTTTCATAAGCATACAAAACATAATATAATTTAAACATAACTTTTAAATGATTATTAAATAATTTAAACATACACCAGACACAAAATGTCGACAAAATAATATAAGAATTTAATATACTTTAGCAAATCGTATTATTTTCTGATGAAACTTTAAATAATTTAAATTTTATTGGACAATAACAATGTTCGTTGTAAAATATTATTATAAAAAAATATGTATCACAAAGTAAATTTTCAAGATTAGATTTCCTTTGCTGTACGCATATGCACGTAACTTGTATTATTGAGTAATTTAAATTATTTTTCACGTTATATTATGTTATTTTGACGGTATGTCAAATAAGATGCTATGTATCAATAACTTTAATCAATAAATACTTTACTGCAATATATGTGAAATATATAATAGTATCAGCAATCAGTGAATGAAACGAATGAATAAGCTACTTGTCTTATATAGAATGTCTCATAAAAACTGCAACTGCTGAAGGAGAGATGTTTAAGATAATTTTAAGAAAAAAATCTTAATATTAAAATATTGACGTAATTATAATGTTTCAATATAATATATATCAATATTAATAATTATACAGAAATAATAATCTTCGCATGCAAATCGTTATATTGTTATTAACAAGAAGCGACACAATTAGCTTCTGCGTTTAACACTTTATGTTATATCACACCCGAACGTGCAAATTTTAAGCAGTACGATTCACTAACTTTTAATTGCTTATAATTTAAAAACTATTATAGTCTCACGGAAAAAAACAAGTAGCTGTCATAACTAAAAACTGCGTGTGGTAACTAAATGGTAGTAAAATATGGACAGTTAAGATATACGAAATATAGGAATCATAGCTAATGCCTTATGATACTTATAACAGAAACAGCAAATTATTTCGCCGTAGTTTATAAAATAGTTGCGGCAGTAAATCTATTTTAACATTATGCTATGGCAGAGCAAATTTTTTTTCCATGTTCAACATTTTAGTATTAGAATTTTTATCTTAAATGATTTCTGGAATCTACTTTTAAACGTTGTTACGGTCTTTATAGGACACACACACACACACACACACACACACACACGCACGCACACACACATCCTATATATCGCTCTATTTATTCTTGTAAACAACTATCTTAAATATATATTACATCACGTACAATAACAAGGCAAATGATGTACAAGACACGTTCAGCTGAAAATATTTCCAATTCGAGTGTTCGATAGCCTTGCACTTCGTGCCTTCGTCGGGACCGAATTGCATAACAAATAATCATCACGCAACAAAGTAATTACTACAAACACACGTGTCTCGGAGACGCATCGCTTGTGCAAATATTTATCATCACAAGGATCCATTGGACAGCAAAACAGCTTGTCGAAGACGTTCGTGTGCGTTTTCCGCAATGTGTTTATTCCGCGAATATATTCTTTCTTTTTTTTTTTTGCATCTTTACATGACAAAACTTTTGTCGAGCTACTATCGTTGAAATATCAAATGATGCAAAATTGCTGACTCTTCGTCAATTGTGTTCTAGTCGACAAAAATAATTGTGCAATCACAATATGCGTGGCATAAATGTGTTTATAATGAAATGTTGTTTGTAACTGTATTGTCATAAAAATTCCGTATTAAAGAGTAATGAAATTCCGTGTTAAAATGCAGTTGCAATCATAAACGATGGGTGTAAAAAAGCGACGTAAAAACTAGTTAATCCACAAAAAATAATTTACGTAAGACTGCTGCTTCTCTAACGGGCTACTATATACTAAGCAACATAAAATCATTCTCATGTGAGATCAATTTGCGCTATTCCATTGCTAATGATTGGCAGGGCTTATGCAATTCAGCCGACCAAAGCTTGCTCTTCTCCAATCAAACATCCTATTGGACACCGAAGACGTTGGAAGATAAATTTAAAATACGTTTGCCTTTACACACGGAGCTACGATTGTCTCTCGGCGCGCGGAAGGCCGTGTGTCTCTTGCAAATCCAGCATGCCGAGTCCTATGCTAATCTTATTTGTGTACGATTACGTATGTTTATAACATGCAAAGAAATTCCGCGGCGCGCGTTATCAGTGTTTAGTCAGGAGCGCCAGCGCGTGGCATTTCAGGCCAAAGTCTGTGAGGTAGAGGAAAGAAAGGAAAGGGAATAGAAAACGACAGAGTCGGAGGCGGCGGAAGGAAAACAGACGTAAAGGCACTCACAGAATTTGGCGCGTGTGCATTTGGGACACTGCAGCGGATTTCCGAATTTTGTTCTTTCCATTACCGTAACTGCGAACTCCTGCATTTAACATTTTCATTTTACGCAATCAAACAGCTCCGTGTGTTATTCATACAATAGTTACTCGCTTATTCGTCTGATTATCATTACTAAACATGGCGGTTAGCATGTGGCAATACTTAGAATTTAAATTATCTGATATTGGCTTGTGAACTACATTAATAAATATGTATGCCGTCGTCATGCTACTTGTAAAAATAACAATGTTATTTTTCATAATTACGAAAGTAATAAGGTAATATTATGTATCAAGCAAATAAATATTCCAAGTCTCTTTGCATGTATTTAAATATTTTTGAAGATTAGCATACAATTATTGAAATATACAACAATTACATAAATTGCCTGCAACTCTTATTGTAAAGAGTGGAAGACCACGTGCACCTTCAGATTGTGAGGTCTGACATCGTTTGCCCACAGAATTAATAAAATGTGACGATCAGCAGAACTGCTTTAATCCACTTCGGCTCATAGCGGTTCTTCGCAGAGGTCGACCTTTAATTCCTTAATTAATTCCAATCCCGCGACTCTCTTAATGAAGAAACGAAGAATCTTAAACCGAAAACCGCGACAACGCGGAAGGGATAACGATTCTCGTCGCGAAAACGTAAGAGTTTTCAGGGGGGGGGGGAGGGTAGCGGGCGGAGAGCAAAGGGAAAAGACGATGAAGTTCGACGTGTGTACACGAGAGGTGGGGGAGAGGGGCAAAGGAAAAAGATATAAGAGTACGAAAGAATGAAAGTATAAGGGCCGACGCTGAAGGGCCATCGACTACAGATAAGAGGGACTCCTAAGACTCTCTTTTAAGAAAAGGTTAAATAAAGGTCGGAGGCTGTGCGCTTGTTGTTGGCTGTTCAGATTCCTTCGACCCCCGCCCACCCCTTTTGCGGCCTTCATTCCCTCACGGGTACCACGCGTAACCCCACTTATTTGAATCCCGAAGGCTTCTTCGAGTTCAACCCCCGCGCGCGCTGGCTCTCATATCTTTTATATATTAGAATTTTCACCAGCGTTTCCTCGCAAAAGCTCCGCTCTGTTTACTGTTTGGATTTATTCCCCCGCTGCAGCAACCTCTCTGACTGAAACTCCCGTGGCTGTATATGAGTTCCTTATGTACATCCTCGCCGTGATACTTTCGGTTCTCCACGTCGTCGAACTTTCTACTACGCTTCATCCGCTGGCATAAGGGTACCCTCGCAAAAATCTGCCAATGTTCAGGAGTTTAAGCAAATCTCTGACTCATCATTATTTTTGGCTAAATATTTAACAACTTAATTTTCGTAAATGTACTGACAACGGCTCTGTATGTAAACTCATAAAATGTAATTTCATTTTGTTTTCAACCGTGCAAATATACCAAGATGAGAAATGTAAAATTAAAAGAACATTTCATATACGAATGCTGTATGTAATTAAATAAAATTTTCTTCGAAAACATAATAATAAGATTTAAATCAAGTATATATGTATACTATATGTTCTTCGAATGATAATAAGATACGTGTCTAATTTAGAATTATTTATCAGTCTCTAATTGAAGTAATCGATTCAATAATTTGAAAAAGAAGTTTTGAGATCTAACGGGAATTTCTAGGAAATCGCGCATTTTATATGAAACAAAAATTGAATACAACCACCTAATGACGCAATTGTAATGATTTAATAACGAACGATCAACGCCAATCGTTTTGTAATTGCTCACTAGGTGGAAAAAAAGGAGAATATCGATATCAGCCGATAGGCGGAAATGAATACAAAACGGGTATCGAAATTTCTGTTGTGTAGGCGATTGTTCGATAGCCGGCGAACATCGGCCGTGTTTTAAACCGGTGGGATATCGTTAGATTTTAAACTCGTTACAGGCACGCTGTCAGGAGTGTTTATTCAGCGCGCTTTTCTGCATGTCGACGATGCGCGGACT